ATATACATACACACACATCCACGCATCTGATGCACTCTTCCCTTCAGGATACATTACATTCCTGTACTCGACGAAACACTGAAGGTTAATTGTTGGCCACAACAGACTATTGCTGAACCTCCCTGCCAAACCTCTGCCACACAGCATTACCAGTTTGAAACATCAGTTTGAGCCATTTTTGAGTATTGGGAACTTCAAGCTGGCATATTGCAACTGGTCCCCTCACACCCAGCCGCCCCTCTGAAGAAACACAAACTTCGGCCAAACTAGATGGCTTATCAACAATATTTCTTTTTAAGAAATTTACCGTTCTAGAGATACGATCTCAGATTTCTTGATGCACTGCTTCCTCACTGAAAAATGTGGCTTTATTATACAAAATACAAATATGGAGAGTAATAAACTTCAAAATCAGTATTGATCGTTTCGCCAGCATCACTATGAGATTCTAGTCGACCCCTAAGTATAGAGAGCAGTTTACACAAAGGCCATTTCACGCCATGAGATTGAGAAGGCAAGCAATAAACAATGATTTCAAAGATGTTTTTACAACAATGTTTTATTCTATTAAATATGAAAGAGCGTACATACGGGTGTTATTCTGAGGACATAAATTACACAAGGATTACACGTTCTGTCAGGAAAGCACAATAATGAAACAACTTTACATTTCAAACTTTTCTTGTTAGCTTTTAACAAATGAGTATTTCTGCTGCAAACAAGTAACGAGTGCTATTGAACTTTTGCAAATTCCCACAAAAACATCATGCTTAGTAGGATACTTTAAATATTGTAAAGATGAAATCAGAATTAGATTTCTAAATAACAAGATGGAAGAAATATACTACTTAATCAAGATAAATGACACACTGAAATAGGAGCCGAGACAAAATTGGTCATTCATTACAAAAAAATTCCACTTCAGACACTACATTTGAATCAGCTTGCTTTACTTGCGGGAATAGTCACTGTGATTATATGCACGAGTAATGAGCAGAACTGGCCCTAAATATTTATAAATGTAACCATCAAGTTTTAGACGTGCTGGTTTTCTAGTTCACTAATATTTCCACTGAAAAACCCACACACCCATGAATCTATTTGCCTATGTTTCAAAAGGTTGAAATCCATCTCTTCTGTAGAGGGCCAATCAAGCCTCTGCATGCCTCCTGTGGTCATCTGTGCAGGGGACTACTGCATCCTACATACCTATTTTGGGTCATCATTGACGTACCAGGCTGAGTTACCACTGACTTGTGAGAGCAGTAGTAGTCTATGGAAGTCCTAACGCGTTGTCTTTTTAAACTTCAGGTAAACAGGAATGTAATTTTATCATAATGAAAGCTCTCAGCTCGACATTCAGAAGACTGCTCAGATAAAACACATAATAAGCACGTAGTTCAGGTTGCGTTGCTAGGGATTAACTGGGGTGTTTTCATGTATTAATACAAACATTAACGGAGTGAAAGAGAGAAGCTAATGTTACTGCAGGCTGTATAATTTTCAAAAAGGAGCAGTAAAACACAATTTCTAAGAATGGTAATTTTTGTAACTAAGGACTTCACATTTATTTTTAAAAACAGAGAAGTGGGGTAATCTTCCTGATGATAGGTTTCAAAACATTCTGCAAAAACACAGCTTGATCCTGCAGACACTAGAACATACAAGCAGTCCCAGTGACCTCCAAGTTAAGCATTCTCATATGGCAAAGAGCAGCAGCATTGTCTTTGCTTTTTTCAAAGAACGCTCAGTAAAAGTGCAACATACTGAAGCAAATCATCTGATTATTTTGCTTTTATTATTAGATGAAAAACGTTCAGGTATTTTATAGTTGTGCCTTTTGTAGGGTGGACATTCTGGTTTAAGTAGGGCCCGACCACATTAGAAGAGATGGGCAGGGTACACCCACACGTTTTCTCTCCCAGAGTGGTAACGGCCCAAAGCAGTTCTATTGTATAATCCCATCTACAGCTAAAACATTGTGCTGCCCCGTTTCACACTGTTATTTCTGTTTTGACAAAAATTGACATTCATTTTGCTTTTCATTTCCACCCAGGCATGAGCTTTCAGCTCCCAGGCACCCTTCCTTTCCCCACCCAGCCTCTTTTCTTCCTGAGATGTCAGAAGTACCTATGTTAAGCTTTGGAACCTGAGAATTTGGAGGTATTTTTTGATACTACAGGGCTGCATTTGTATCGTACCATGTTATCTCCTGCTATACTATTACAGTTACAATATAAATCTTCTAACTAGTTGATACCTGATGCCTTTCCCATATAAATAAAAAACAACATACCATTTCAGCCACTAATATATGACAATTGCTGTAAGAGGGACCTTCACCTTTTGCAAGTCCTCTTTTCCAAACAAATGTTGAGGGATCATTTCCAAAAACCCAGATACGAAATACTCCTTGAAGTAAACAATTTCACAGTAACATAAAGCAACATATATCCAGAAAATAGCACTCTCTCAAAATTAAAACTTATATACATCAAGAAGTTGAGATTTTTCCTCATTCTTTTATCAGTTCTACATTATCTGCAGATAAGCAACATATTATCACTAAGAGTTATGAAAAGGAAAAACAAGTCTAGTGAAGTAAGTGTTTTGTCTTTTTTAATATTCTTGAGAGATCAAGGAAACTCAGCATTGAACTTTATTATTATAATTACTTTTAATAAAGGTAGCAAAAGACTGTTTAAGCTTAATTCCTTATGGTTTTGAGTATCCACGTCTTAGATCCTTCAATGCACTCGAAACAAGCCATGTCACTGCACTTACAATCACCTCTGGGTACAAACTAAGTTTTCCATGGATGGGATTCAGCCATCAATTCACTATTTACCCTTCTTGGTTTATGATTTGTTTTATAATTCTTAATAGATTAAGCTGTTTTAATATTTATCACAAATTTGGTGTTATCCTTTAGCAAGACTGAGCTTCATCTGCAACTGTAATGCATGAATTTATGAGCTGAATTTAACGTACCAGAACAGAAATACTTAAAGGATTAAAATTGTACCTCAACATTCATTTTCTTATCAAGAATCTATGCTGAAAAGATGCCAATAAGTGTTATTTAATTTTGCATTTTATACTTAAACTAAAGAAACAGTCCTCTGGATTCATTATAGTTAGCTCTTTTTTTCCTGTGGAGTGGAAAATAGCCACTCAAAATTTATAAATCTTTGGACAGCTAGTGAGCTCTGATGAACTATTGTCAGCATTCCTATCTGTGAGTATTCTCAGTATTCTACATTGCATGCTATGTATTTTTATCTTTTGGGTTTTTTCCCTACTTAACTGAGGTCTAATTCATGGCAACTTCCATGAGAAAAGATAATCGGACTGAGGTGCTTATGTACAAGTGTATCTATTTTAAAGAGAAAGACTATTCTCCATTCATATCCAACAAGTATTCTAGCCATTAGCCCTGCAGAAGTCAGTAACAAGTGACAGATCACTATCTTCAACAATTTCAATTCAGGACTATTTTGAATTGTTGTGGTTTTTGAAAAGGAAGAATAGACTTCTTTTTAAAAAAAATTGCTTTCAAGTGAGAAAGAGTTTGAAACTTGTAAACTGTGAAGTTAACTGATGAAAAACAATGCCTGACAAGTGCAAACCCGTTAACAAAATGCTATCATTAAATAGTCCAATGATATATCCAACTCAAACACTTGCAGCCCAGGTTTTTAAGGTCATCTCAATGCCAAAGATATAGGTAGGCATTTTTTAAATCACTCCTCAATAATTACGTGCCCAATTCCAGTAGACTAAAAAGCCTAAACTTTCTGGCAATCCGCTAGATGCCTGTCTGTATCTTTAAGTTTTTAAGTGAACTTAAAAGCTGGTGCATAGTATGCTAACAAGGACTTTTTACAAATTCAGCTACCTGTAGACAAATACCACATTTGTGCCATGCAAAAGACTTTTTAAAAAAAAACACATTCTGCAGTAATTTTCCACAGTTTAACTTATTCACAGGCCTGAACTGTCTCCTCCTGTTCTGTGAGAAAAGACTATCAAGACCCAGAAATATTTGCTGCAAGGGGTGGAGGCGGGGGGCTGGAAGCCCATGCTGGCCTCCGGGGTTTCTCAGTGTACAGCATGGCTGTATCATCGTGCTGCTGCATGTACGGATGGTATATAGCATTGCCAAATTTTAATAACGGACATTTAATAATTGGGACAGTTTAGAGAATGACCTTTCAATTTAATTAAAGCTGTAAAATGGCTTCACATATCTGGGATTAACCTTTTTAGATGGAGACCGATGTTCCAGAAAGAGATTTAGAGTACAAAGGAATGGTCCCTCGATTTAGAAACTAAGCAGCTGTAAAAAGAAAGTCACAATTTTAAAACATGTTTCTTATGTTGACTTTTAAATGATATTAAAATATTGCAGTATTTTGAGTCATTTAAAGATCTGCTTAGTGTAACATGATTTATGTTTTCCAATACAAAATTGATTACTAACATTTACTTAAAAAAACCCACACCTGACTTGTTTTAGGAGCAGGTAATTTAAATGTAATGGACAGTGAGATCACTTTTAACTTTGCATTAAATTGCATCAACCTTCTTGCAAACATAAGCTTGTGATTTCCACTTTTCACTCCCTCACTAGCAACTGAAATGTCTCTGGTTAGAAGTGTGAGTTGATTATATGTTGATCTACATTAAATATAGGGTACATAAGAAAAATCTTAGAATGTTTTTTTACAGGGCACCCAACTAAAATCTTTACAAAAGATAAGGTAATTATCCATTCTTCAGTGTAATAGACACAGATGCCACTTTTATAAATGTACCCTTATGTTCACTCGCCAATAAAATAGTAAACAAATCAACTTTTTAAACCATTTTTTATAAATTATTAATTTTTACTGACACTCTCCAACAATATACAAAAATAATACTACAAGTGTACCAATCAATCTGACCTACCCCTCATTTCACAGAAAAGTAGAGGTTATGGAAGGATGTTCGTGTAATCAGTCATCACTGTAGATGTCTCCTGCAAACGGTAAGTGTACATGGCTGCCCGTGACGTTGGGAAGTCGAGAGAGATCAGGCAGGTTCTGGATGCGTGACCTGAGTTCCTTCCGTACTTGGGACACTCTGGCTAGCTTGCGTTTGTACTCCTGTAATGCAGAAGAATTCAACATAAGACTCTTTTGCTAATACCATCCCTACTACTTACTGCGCTTGTCATCTTCTAAAGAAAGTATTCCTTCTGTGAGTTAGATGACTAAACGTCCTTTAATAGGATGTATACTCCAGAACTGGATATTCTGGAGGCAGAGATGCTCTAGCATCTTCTCAGCATCTGACTTTGGAAGCATAGCCACAGGATTTTTTTGCTTTGAATTGTTAAGTACAGAAATGCTAAACAAGGCAGACAATCCCAGATAATACAACTACACGCATTTCTCCATGCAACTAGTAGAATGGGATTATTCTTAGAAGCCGTATTAAGGATAGTCAATACACATATTCTACTGTCACTCACAGAGTACAGCAGGATAAACTTACTGATGTCAAAGTTGTTACTTTCAGCTCATACTGATGAAAGAATAAAACCCAACCAAATACCACCTAACCAGGCCTGTTGATCTGCCCCACCAAGCTGACCAATCAGAAGTATTTTGTATTAACTTTTATAACAAAAACCGTATTGCATCAGTACATTTATGGGTATAGTGGAGAAAAAAAAGAAATCGACATAATTCCTGTGAAAGTGCCAAACAGAAATACTTGAAAGTTCCAGCAAGTATCAAGCCACTGTGCAAATGTCTATAAAAGATAACAATCATGCTATTTACAAGGTCTAAACATAATTTTAAACATTCTTCTATATACTGTTAATAGCATGGAGTAAAAAGGAAGGCCAATGAAAAGACCCTTTTGGTAGTAGAACCCAATACAGTAGTACAAATGTTAAATACCTGGGGCACGATGAAGATTATTGGACAAGGTCCAACACACATAAAACCAAAGTTCGCGACTACTAGCAGCAGCGTGGCCTTCTTAGCAAGGGCAGTAAGAGAACCACAAGAAATTTTAAATTCTTAATAAAAAGGTAATGCATAGCTTAAGAAAAAATAATTAAATCTTTACATAGAAAAAGAGAAAAAAGTGTCTGTGAATTAGGATCATCAATTTCTTTATATAATTTATATTTAAAAATTAAATATTACATAGAGCTCAGAGTCTTACGAGATACTAAACACAGTGAAAATACTACAGATGCCTAGTAAGCAGAATGGTAAACACTTGGTGATGGTACACAGGGCAAAGCAGCATTCCTTTTACGATACAGATGACCAAAAATTTCTTACAACTGCAAGTCCCTTGGTCCTAGGAAAACCATCACTTGCTCACACTTGCCCAAAGCATTCTCCCTGGCGCAAGCGACTTCAGGACGTGGCTGTGGAAATGAAGGGCTGTATCCTGACACTGTACCCTTAAGTAATGCCTGCAGGCCACGAATACTTTACTATTTCATATCTAGTATTAAAGCAGCATTAGAGGCCTCAGTGAGCTGATTCTGTGCAAAAGTCATAGTTCTTTTTCCTGCATGAAAAAAGCCAGTAATGGAATGCTTCTTGCCCTTTTCACTATCTATTGTTGTCCAGATTGCAGACATATACTCCTGACTATTATTTTAGGGAATAGATTTTAATGTCAGAGGAAAAGATAAGTTTCTTTGTTGAGTAAAACAAACAATTTGGCAATATACAGAACACTTCAGTTAGCTAGAATCACTATTTTCAGATGTGGGATGGCTGGAGATTGAGCATTGGGCAAACGAGGGCTTTGAGCAAGCTTGAACCTAGGAGACCTGGCCTCCGTTGTGAAAGACGTACTGCTGTACAAAAGAGGATGAGTGGAACTGTAAGCAGAATCAAAACACTCAAAAGGCCCAAAATTAGTAAAAGAAATTAACTGTAATTCAAGCAGTTAATTGTTGTAAATGGTGTTTGAATCAGCTGAATCCAAGTTCATTCTCCGTCAATGAAGAATGTGAAGCAGCACATCAGCATCCCTTCATAAGCAAGAAGTGTGATGCTAGGCAAATACACACAGATCGCACTCAGCAGCTATATTCTCTCAAGACTTCAATCCAAAACCTGAAATGTGCCTTAAATTAGATTGCCAGTTGCTTCACTCCATTAAAATTCCTTTTAGCTGATAATAAATCATTTCCATAGTAACACCACATTTCTGACATCCAGCATTTTCTGTATAAATTTTGCCTGGGACTTGTTGCCTAGTGAGTATCAGCTTGATCAATACCACTGACAGTAGGTTCCTTTTTCTCACTACGGAAAATGTTCTCATAAATTCAGTCTCCCATAGAATACAGTCGTCTTCCTCTTGCCAACCACTTCAGCATAATGCACACACTCAGGGAGTCAAAACTTGTTCCTTGTGTCTTCTCAGAAACAGAGACCTCTGAGAAAGTTTGCTCAAGATTTTTAATATAAAACTAGAGGAAATCAAAAGTTACATAAGGTTTTATAGTTCGCTATATTATTGATGCAGTATAAGCTACAGAATGCAATTTTAATACAATTTTGGTAATCCAAAGCATATGCGAGATCTGCAACTACAGGTTAGATGTCCATGACAATCCTCCCCAACAAGTAGAAATATTATTCACCTTATCCAGAGCACCTCATTTTCTAGGACGCTCCCAAAACCATTCTAGAAATCACTGGAAACATCTAGTTTTCATGACTAGTACACAAGTTCAAAAGAAGGCCGATTTTCAAGTACAGTGACTTAGCAGTTTTGAGGTACTTTCCAAGGGGCTGCTTTTCACAGTTTAATTCTATTTAAAATCACTAGTAATTTCTGAAAGGGTTTACTTGTACATTTTTAAGGCTACTAATATAGTCCTGGCATTACTTGAGTAGTCCTGGACTGCTGGAATACACATATCAAGTACTCATTATCAAGATACTTGTTGTACATACAACCTTTATTATTTTATCATAATAGCATGCACATGTACCTACAACCTTTTTCCTCAGTCCATACGTTGAGAATGTGACTTAACTAAAGTAGAGGAGCAGGAACGGGGATATCTAGGTGTTATTTCCGATACTGTTGCTCCATTAGAAATGCCATGTACTGTACAACCGAGTAACAATTTACCCATATTGTTGACACTGCTAACTGCAGAAATCCTCATGGAGAATTTCAATTTCATTTTCATTATGTTGATTTTAAGATATACTTCAAGTTGCCCCCCATATAAATGAGGCAAGATTTAAGCTATATACTTCAAACAGTCAAGGACAGGTAGAAGTATGTTGTTTTCTTATGCTACACTGAGAATAATTTGCATTGCTTGCTACCTATGGAGAACCTTACTCTTGGGATATATATGGCAGCCTGATGTTTGGAATTAAAGTCTCTTCAATTTCTTCAGCGGTCTAAGAACACTGATTTCAAGCAATAATTTTTTGTACTTGCAGTCACAAAAGTAGGTTTATGAGATAATTAGAAGAACTTATTTTGCTCATTAGAATCCCACTGATTACTACAGTTTCCATTACTCGACAGTGTAGCATATGGATATTTTATGAAAGCAGTGCTAACAACATATGGATTCCACACCTAGATTAATAGCAATTGTCTATCAAATAAGTACTAGGCAAAAAAGCCAAAAAATTTTTTGTTAGACACTACAGTCATAATGAATAATAAAAATCTGGGCAGGCCAAACAGGCTGCGCACTGCAGAGGATATTTTCCCTTCCAAATTAAATAGGTTGAAATAGATCATAATAGAGATTTTCTGCAATTACCATACAGAGATGCTATGCTAAAACAACTTGGAACTTCATGGATATGCTTTCCCTTTACAACATTAATATGACTTTGAACCCTCACCTGATCACTAAGGCTACGGCATGCGTTAAAATACTGCATGGCAGAAAACGTATAGCAAAGCAAAAGAAACAAACTCTGACTCCAAAGCAAGAATTAAAGGTTTGCAGAAAACACACATATATCTAATCTGCACCCTTGTTAGCTACAGAAAGAAAGATAAGGTGGAAATCAGAACTCTCGATATAGAAAAACAAAACCAAAACAGCTTAAAAGGCTTTTAAGGCGTTGAGGGCATGTGTGTACACCAGCATCCATGGCCTGTATGCACATGGTATTTAAAACAGACCTCTGGCTTTCCAGGTCCGGTCCAACCTTCCAGTTTCAGGTGCGGATGTGGGAGCTTTGTAACAGAGCAAAGGCTTCTCACGCGCTGTGTCCAACAGCACAGAAACCACTGGAAATCTCCAAAGGCTCAGATGAAGGCCAATGGCATGTGATAGCCTGATACCTAGATTTTGAAGTTCAGAAACACGGTATTTGTTTATAGACTCCACCTTGTTAAAATCAAATGCCTCACCCAGTTTGGGTATTTTTCTGCAAGGCAGACTGACGACGAGATTTGGAGGAGTCAGATAAACCTCACTATCACTGGAAAACAGATGGAGCAGGGTTAAATTTTGTGCTGCCTTTAAAAATTCGGCAGGGCTCACGTTCTTCACCAGTATGATTAAAGGCTCAACCAATTTACTAGCGTTAGGGATGAACAAAACCCTTAAATAGCTTTAATTTAAGACACTGAAAAGAAGTCTGAACACATCTATATGCATCACACACACACAAGGTTGAAAAATTAAGGACAGTTACAAAAGCTTTAGGAAAGGACTGACTTGGCTAACCTTCCGTTACACATTCTGCCTGTTTACTAGAAAACAAATCTTTGGAAGAAAGCTTCAACTTTCCAGTATGTTAGCATCTATCAGTTTTCCATTAGGTCATACCACATTTAGAGCAAAAATAAATAGCACTGAAGCAGTGAGCACCTACCTAGTGATTGCTTTGTTTATTCCTTATTGTTCTATGCATTATCCCACACATTACCTAACTGTACACATTACTGTGTACGCAGATTTACTAATATTCTCAAAGGTTTTCTAATGGCATACTTCACCATTACAAACACAATTTACTCTTCATAAAACTTCTTTGAGCTGACAGATTAAAATGAAACGCATCCTCTAATTTTGAGTATCTCATTTTTCTTAGTACTTAGAATTACCAAGAACTTAATGCTTCAAAGCAAA